AGAGCAATCATATAAAACCCATCTTTGAATTTCCAGTATGTAGCTTAATGCCTGTTGGATGAATGGATGGATGAAAAAATGAATGAATGAGTGAATGAATAAATGACTTGCAATTACTCCTTAAGATGCCATCCTGCCTGGTGCGCTCTAGGGGCTATTCTACAACACTGCATCCAAGGCAGCGTGTTGAGATGTTCCTTGCAACATCCTGGCTCTTTGTGGCTTCTTTCAGGTGACTCATTTTCCAATTTAGGCCAAATTTCCTCCTCGTATTTCCATACTCTACTCTTCTCATTACATCATCGATAAACTTCCAGTCATTCTTCTCATTTATTGAGAACTTTCATACCAAAACCACAGTCCTTCGCTCTACCCTAGCAGCAGGGACTTACAGTCCCATGTAGTTCATCTTCTTGAAAATAAATTCAAAATTCCTTCCTCATCCCTAACAAGTTATCCATACCCTATTTCAGGAAATCATTACATGGTCACACCCAGACTTCATCATCACAAAAATGTTTCCATGTCTAAATATTTAGATTTCGTAGGAAGTCAAATACGTGCCCCCCCGCAAAGATGTCCACATCCTTATCCCCAGAACCTAAGACTTACTACCTTCCTGCAAAAAGAGACGTTGAAGATGTGATTAAGTTAAGACTCTCAAGATGAGAAGATTACTCTGCATTATCTGGGAGGGCTCAATGTAATGACAAGGGTCCTTATAAGACAGAGAAAGGCAGGAGAGTCCGAGGGAAAGAAGGAGATGTAAGAACAGAAACAGATCGATGCAATGTGGGGCCGTGAGCACTGCAATGCAGGGAACTGGAAAAGACAAAAACGCAGACTCGGCCTTACGGCCTCCCACCTATGTCAGACTTCTGACTTCCAGAACTGCAAGAGATTGCATTTATGTTGCTACAAGCCATAAATTTGTAGTAATTTGGCTAGAGCGGCAATAGGTAATTAACAGCTTCCGAAAGACCATTCTACAAACAGAAACTTTGATCTTCTGGCTTCCTCATTCTCTCGACACACCTACACCTACCCTCACGCTCTCTCTGCTGGCTTCATTTCTTTTCCTAGACACCAAGACATCGTGATTTTACATTTTAACAGCTCTATTCTCAGTATGTCAATGTCTTAACCACTTATGCACTCATTTCATCTGCTCCGATATCTCGAGTGTTGCAAAAGAACAATGTCCTGCTTTCTTCTCTCCTATCCTGAAAATACTAAATGTCACAGGAGAAAATAACTCAGTATTTATCAGTGCCACTTCAGTTTCTTGACATTTAGCCTCAGCTATGCCCTTAGTCCCTCTTTATTCTTTATATGACCTTCATTAGTTCCTTATTCGAATTATTTTTTTACTAGAAATTTGTACTTTCATTTATTGATTGATTGAGTTATTGGAGTGACATTGGTTAATAAAATTTATATAGGCTTCAGGTATACAAGTCTATAATAAATCATCTGCATATTGCATTGTGTGCTCACTGTTCCAAGTCAAGTCTCCTTCCATCACCATGTGCCCCCCTTTTATACTCTTCTACCTCCCCCCACCCCCTTTCCCTCTGGTAATCACCATACTGTTGTCTGTGTATATGAGTTGTTTTTGTTTTTTTGCTTAATCCCTTCACCTTTTTCACCCAGACGCACAACCCACCTCTCCTCTGACAGCTGTCAGTCTGTTCTCTGCATCTATGGATCTGTTTTTATTTTGTTTGTTAGCTTATTTTGTTCATTAGATTCCAAATAGAAGTGAAATCATTTGGTATTTGTCCTTCTCTCACAGGCTTTTTTCACTTAGCATAATACTCTCCAGGTCCATCTATGTAGTCACAAAGGGTACTATTTTCTCCTTTTTTATGGCTGAGTAGTATTCCATTGTATAAATAAATCATAGCTTTTCTTTTTTTATCCATTCATCTACTGATGGACACTTGGGCTGCTTCCAAATCTTGGCTGTTGTAAATAATGCTGCAATAAACATAAGGGTACATATATTCTTTAGAATTAGCATTTCAGGTTTCTTTAGATATATTCCTCAACACCAAAAAAAACCCAAAACACAAAACAAAGAATCCAATTTAAAAAATGGGTTAAGGACCTGAATAGGCACTCTTCTAAAGAGGACACAGAGATGGCTAATAAACATCTGAAAAGGTGTTTTATGCCACTAATCATCAAAGAAATGCAAATTAAAACAATAATGAGATACAACCTCACACCTGTCAGAACAGCTGTCATCAATAAATCAACAAACAAGTGTTGGTGAGGATGTGGAGAAAAGTGAATCCTCATGCACTGTTGGTGGGAATGTACACTGGTTCAGCCACTGTGGAAGGCAGTGTGGAATTACCTCAAAAAATTAAAAATGGAACAGCCTTATGACCCAGTGATTCCATTTCTGGGAAAATGCCCTATTCTAATTCTAATAGCAGTAATTCCAAATCATCAATTCTTCTCAAGTCACCTGCCCCTTCTGTGCCCCTCTCTTTACTAAGTGTCCTTGAGTTCCATTTCTGAGAGAAAATCGAGGTGCAGACTGAGCCACCGGTGGCGCGGCCTCTTGCTGCAATTCCCCTTGCTCATTGTCCCTGCTGGTTTCATCACTGCTGCCTCCGCCTAAAAGACTACACCTTTCTCTTCCCCTTGCTCTACCTACCGTACAGTCACCTAAAAAGCTTTCTCCCATTTTTTCCTTTTTCCAACTTAAGAGGGAACTTTCTAAGAAGACTTTATTGGCACCAGCCAATTCCCCACTTGACCACCACTCCTTTGTGTTCCCATTTTATTGTACATACATCTCCTGCAACTGTCACTCTACACATAACAATCTTCCAATGCAGTTACTTACTTATGTGTCTCCCTCCTCTAACTAGACAGAGAATCCCTTGAGATGAATTACAGTGTCTTACCTGCCTTGTTATCCCAGCACTCTAGCACTATGTCTATAATGCTTAGAGAACCAGTAAGAAGGAAAAGTAATAAGGACCTAACGAGAAGGTGAGCGATGTGGCCAAACAGCGAGCCTCCACCCACCACACTCACGCCAAACATCAGGCCTGCTTCTCACCTCCTCCCAGTGATTAGTCTGTTTGGGAACTGGGGTTTGCCTCAGGGCCCCAGGCAGAAACTCACACCAGTCAAAATGACAAGTACACTGGCACAGTCACCTAAGAGCTCTGCTGCTTCATCAAGTCCATTTCAGAGTCAGGAAGGTACTCTTGGCTACCTTGGTGCTCCAGACCATCTGGCTAGTTGGCACAGCACCTGCTTTTAAAGTCAGTTTCTTACTAATCTGAACATTCCAACTTATGCTGCAGAGTAAATGTTCTCTTTGAGCTGCCACAGGGAAGTCTTCAGAATCTTCATCATACCCTCCCTTAGCCCCTTCTTTATTTTAGTTTCAGTTAGGTGGCTGGCATATTTCTCCAGAGCATCAGTGGTTCTTCCACCTGCCCCTGAGGACAAGGGAGTGGTCTGGAAGGACAATGCAGGCAGCCCCCACTTTCCATGCTCCTTTGCTGCAGGAAGCAGAGCAGCAGCAAAAGGACCAGCATTCTGGGCTCTCAGAGATGTACCCAGCCTGCTTTGTGGACACTTTGATCCTAAATAAAATGTTTTGCTTTAGAAGCGATAGTCCTAAATTGTGCCCCACATCTAAATGCTGGTTTTTTTCGCGTTCAGAAAAATCTTTACCCCAACAGTAGAAATAGAGATGAGAGAAGTCAAAATATGCTCCTCGTTGGCACAATTTTTGGTGGGAGTTTGCCTGAAGAGTCTTCTGCACATCTGGGAACTAATGTGGTAATGAAGGAAGGCTGCTAACAGCATGGAGAATGCTGAAAATGGGCCACCATAAGCAGCTTTATGTAAATCATGCACAACCTGTGCCAAACTGAAAAGAACAGCCACACTGCAGACAGAGCTGCTAGGGAGCAAGGTGGGGAGGGGAGCTGGCCTCCCATGAAACTGACACAAACATTGTTATGCCTGGTGGTCAGTGCTACTGTCATTTAATCTTTTTATCAGTAATTTTGTATGTGTAGCAACTGAAGGGACATTTACTAAACAAAAATAATCAAACATAGAGCACATTCCAAGGCACATATATGAGAATGGTCTGAAAATACATCTCTACCTCTGCCATCTTTTCCTATATATTTGGAAAGGAATGGGGAAGAAGAAATGAAGGGGAATAGAAAGAAATCCTCACCTTTGAACACTCAGCATAAAACCTACCTTCTCTGTTAGGACCCCTTTAACCACTGGAAACTTCCTGTGAATTCCTGTAAGATTTTGCATTTTAGTCTATCCCATGCTGACTTACATTATTAGATGTCCTCTAATGAATCAAGGGCTCATCCACCCAGTTAACTGCAAGGCCCTTGAGGACAAGTCTGCTTATTCCTCCACACTGATTCCTTCCACAGTGATTGAGTACAGCAGACGCTTGAAATACTTGGTTGCTTGGGTAATGCCACCAGCAAATAATTCCAAACCACAAATATGATTTTGCTATACGATATATGAAATGTAAGAAATAAATCTATCTCTGTATTAATGTTTTATGTTTTGGATTCTGCAATTCCTGAGAATAAATTCGGAAAGCTGCGTATTGGGGGTGAGGTGAGTGCATTGGAGGAAGCCGGTGAATATTAAAAGGTGTCAGTTCAGTGGAAAAATGCGCACGTGGGATGAAAATAAACTGGATCGAGAGTCTTTCCTAAGCAGTAAAAGGTGTTTGCTGACGTCATTTAATACTCAGAGCTGAAGTCCGGGTCTTTGAAGATTCCTTAGCACTGCGCCACTTTGCGGAGACTCTTGGCAACTGCGTCCTCTGCACTCCTGCAGGACCGTAGACCGAATTGCGATAGTGCTGTCATGGCGGCTCCTAAACACCAGGGGGCGCCGAGCAGCTCCGCCTCTGCCTGCGCGCGTCCGCTCTCCCAGCACGCCTTGCTCCCGCCGACCGCGACCCGGAAGTTGTCGTTGACAGACGCCGGCCGGCAGCCCTAACGGAATCTGGGCGTCGGAGCGCAGTCGCCCGCCTCGGCTGCTCCATCCCGGGGGAGGACCACTCCGAAGCCGGAGGAAAAGACACCGTTGAGCCCACCAGGCGCCCGGGCTCGGTCTGGATGCGCCGTCCTGGCCGTGTGTGACCCCTCCGGTTCGGCCCGGCCCTCGGCCTCTGTAAGTGTTCGGGGAGAGCGCCCCTAAGGCCCTGCACCGCCCTCCCGACGCAGCGAAGAGGCTCTCCGACCCGGGCACTATGAGAGCCACGGAGCGAGGGCCGGAAGCAGAGCTGCCCCTGTCGCTTCGCGGTGCCTGTAGGATGTCAAGGGCCCAGAGCCGCGGCCGGGGCCGCGAATAGCACCCCAGATTTCCTAATATCCGGGACAGAGTTATGCTCCACTTCCCAACTCCGAAGTAAAATATAAACAGGGCGGTCATCTAGGGCAGTCCCCTGGTCCTTTCAACCATGAAGGCAGAAACAGTGTCCTCGTTGCAAAAGACTCCAGCTGTCGAGGACCATGAGGTGCCCAGCCATGGCCTCAGTGAACTGCTGGGTAGCCGAAAGCTGATGGCTGTGGGGGTCGTGCTTGGCTGGCTCTTGATCATCCACTTTCTGGTCAATGTGTGGCTTCTCTGTCTGCTGTCCGCCTTGCTCATGGTGCTGGGAGGGTGGCTGGGCTCCAACGCCATTGTGGGGGCTTCGGGTCGACTGCACCTGGAACGCTTCATCCCAATGGCCATCTGCCCCCCTGACCCCGAAGCAGAAAGGCAGCTGGAACAGGAGATCAACCGCACCATCCAGCTGATTATTCGGGACTTTGTGTCCTCCTGGTATCATTCAGTGAGCCAGGAGCCAGCCTTCGAGGAAGAAATGGAGGCGGCCATGAAAGGACTGGCCCAGGAGCTGCGGAGAAGGATGGGCATGGTGGACAGTCATGCCCTTGCCCAAAGGGTTCTGACTCTCTGCGGTTGTCACCTGCAGAGCTATATTCAGGCAAAGGAGGCCACAGCAGGGAAGCAGAGTGGTACAGTTGAGCCCTCCCAACTCTGGGAGGCGTACTGCAGGGCAACTGCCCCACATCCTGCGGTACAAAGCTCCAGTGCTGAGGTTACCTATACACGCAGCATTGTGGACCTGTTGCTTCAAGGACTAGTGCCAAAGCCCCACTTGGAGACTCGGACAGGGCGCCACGTGGTGGTGGAACTCATTACTTGCAATGTGATCTTACCACTGATCGGCAAGCTGTCCGATCCTGACTGGATCCACCTTGTACTCGTGGGCATCTTTTCCAAGGACAGAAATGATACAGCAGTGGTTAAACCACTCTGCCCAGCCAGTACCCTGGAACAGCCCTCAGTGCCCACGTCTCTGCCGCTGGTTGTGGAGGTACAGAGTCTGCCAGAAAGAGCCCCTTCTCCAGCTGCAGCCCCAGTGCCCCTCACCTGTCCTGAGCCAGAGGGCCTGTTACGCTCCTCCCCCGAAGTTGAAGAAGGCCATGAAGCTATAGAGGGAGATTTGGGCGGAGTGCCAGAAGAAAGAAAAGTAGAAAACAGCTCATCTCATTTCCTACAGCCAGATATCCGAGGCCCTCTGTTCTTATGTGAAGATGCAGAGCTGGAGTCTCCATTGTGTGAACTGAGCAAAGAAACCATCATGCTCATGACACCAGGCAACTTCCTGTCTGACAGGATCCAGGATGCCCTGTGTGCCATAGAGGGTTCCCAGTCTCTGGAGCCGAAGGATGGTGAGGGATCTGAAGGAACTGAAGGGACAGAGGCTGAGGAAGTTCCAGGAACAGAAACAGAAACAGGCCTGCTGGTCTCCATGCTGAATTCCTGCCCAGAGATCCAGATTGACACAGCAGATAAGGAGGCAGAGCAAGGAGATGTCACCTCCCTTACGCCTTCGCTGGCAAGTCCAGAAAGGACCTGCCCTCCACGACCCTCATGCTTAAAGAAAGATCTTGCCAATGGTGTGAGCTCCCTAGATACTGGTCTGCCGCAGGTTCTGCTTACCTCCTCTCCAACGGGTCCTCTCAGCTCAGCTACCTTCAGCTTTGAGCCCCTGAGCAGCCCAGATGGCCCAGTTGTCATCCAGAACCTGCGTATCACTGGCACCATTACTGCTCGAGAGCACAGTGGCACTGGATTCCACCCATACACACTCTACACAGTGAAGGTAACAGGATTGGAACCATGGTCACCCGCTCTGGGCTTGAATGGGTTTGAAAAGCAAGTGAAGCTAGGGTTCTAAGGGAAAGAGGTTACTCTTTCTTTTTTCGCTGTGAGTCTGAAGTTCATCGATAGAGCAGAGTACGTTTCTATCCACTACCCACACAGACGATTCTAGAATCTCAGGGTTAGGCTACTAACCAGCAGTAGGGTACTGTTAGGCTACTGAGGGTCATGTTTTCAGTGGTTCCCAAAGTATAGAGCCTTGTCCAGAAAATCCCTTCCCATACCTTTCCCCTGCTAATTTCTTTCCTTTTAAAAATACTAGTATCTTTTGTACTTTGTTTCGGAAGGAAGGTTATTTACCTATACATACCTTGAAAGACAGGAGGAAGTTTCTCATTCCTAGAGATTTTTAAGCACAGAAGTGGGAACTACCTTGCAGAAATGGTATAAAGGGGGTTTATGTATCAGATGTCTGCTTCAGTTAGAGCAGCAACTCTCTAAAACAGGTTTTAGGGTAGGCTGCCTCCAAATCTCCTGGAAAGTTGTATTAAAAAAATAAAATCTGAGGACCCAGCTATGGGAATTCTCATTCAGAATATGTAAGAACCTATCAGAATCTATATATTTAAAAAGAAGCCCAAGTGATTTTGAGATGCAGCCAGGTTTGGGAATGTGTCGGTATTGATCGCATCCCTGAAGGAGTAGAATATTCCACAGAAAGCATAATGACTTCAAGGTACTCCAACTTTCAAAGCCCCTCCCGGAATTTTCACCTGTCTCCTACCGAGGCCGTTTATTGGTCTGATGGGGCAATTCGCTCATGTCATAATGAATACTTCTCTTTTTTCTTTCTGGCTCTAGAAATTTTTAAAGCACCAGCCTCAACTCCCACCAACAAGCAGATCATTTCTTCCATCACTTGCCCAGAGTATAATACCTCAGCCAAACAGCAGTAACCTACTTCTAATGAGAATAAGCACACACACAGTTCTTCCACAGCATTTTGTTGTATTTTAACTACTTGGTCAAAAAGCCTTCTCCTATACTAAGTTACAGCTTTCATGCTGTTCAGGGTGTTGGCTCTGGGGAAGTATGTAGTACAAGTTCTCTCTTCGCACATACTGCCCCTCCCAGCATATGGAGGCAGCAAACTTTAACCCCTTACAGCGTTGTCCGGTGTTTTGGTATCTCAGCCACACTGGAAGAGGTAGAGTTGTCTTGGGCCACACATAAAACACATTGTGGCACGCAATCACACGCACACAAAAAAATCTCATAATGTTTTAAGTAACTTGACGATTTTGTGTTGGGCTACATTCATAGCCATCCTGGGCTGCAGGCAGGCCACAGGCTGGACACCCCTGCCGCATATCCAGTCTTCACATGACTCCTAAATATATAGATGATATGTACAAAAGAAAGAAAATAATTCAGTTTAGCTCCAAGAATAATTCATCTGCCCTGAGCAAAACAAAAAACATATGTCCCTTTAATGTATTCCATACAAACAATTTTTTTCCATCAGCTGTTTTGAATTATTTTCCCCCAACTAATATACATAATCATAGGTTGAATATAATGGCAAAATGGTTCCAACCCCACAATTCAGGAGTAAAAGAGGTAGTATCACTTTTATCAGTGTTGTACCTTCTGTTTTATGCCCTGTCTTTGGGATTTGAAAAATAGTTATGTAGCCATTTTTATAAGCGAAAGTGTTTACAGGAGGGAGATTTGAGATTGAAGGAGTACGGAGCAGTAAAACTTGTTTTTCGGTTTCTGGGCCACGTTATGTTTGGAAATGCACCTCATGCCTTAATTAAGTCCCCCTTGGAATTTGAGTTGTTCATTACAACTTAGAGTAGCAATCAGATCTGGTAGGTGTGGGAACAAAATAAGAACAGAGCCCTTCCTTTGCCCCTTGTCTCCTCTTACTGTGTGGCCGTTGGGCTGATGTAGTGAACACATTTATTCACTCAACAGTATGAGACAGTTCTTGACGGCGAGAACAGCGGCAACCTGCAGCAGCTGGCATACCATACTGTAAATCGTCGCTACCGCGAGTTCCTGAACCTGCAGACCCGTCTGGAGGAGAAGTCAGACCTACGAAAGTTCATCAAAAGTCAGGAGTCTCCCCAGCCCTGGAATACCTGCTTGCTTTTTACTTCTAGCCACCTTGCTCTGAGAGGCTGGAGGCCTGTTGGTTTGTGGGAGGGATGGAGGAGAAATGCAGCATCAAGGGTCCTTTATTTCCCGTACCCTCCGTTTGCATTCGGGTCATTTGTGTGTTAGTACTGGACAGCAATGGTCGTGTCGCTTCTGAGGTACATTGTTATCACCGAATGCTTCGCCCGGGGGCCCCGTTGAGTGTAAGCCAAAGAAACGTTCACGTTTCCGCTTATATCTGGGAGGTAGCTTGAGGAGTTCAATGAACTTTTCCAGAATCATAGATTAATTGCCCTTAAGTATTAAAATACCATCCAGAAATACTTGTCAACTTTCCTTTAACAGCCAGGCTTTTTTAGGTATTCTGTAAGATAGAGGGACAATAAGAAAATGTAATAATATTTAACTCTAAAAAGAAGCTGGTTAGCAGCTACTTTGTTTATTTAAAAAAGCTAATGATCACCCAAATAAACATTTTAATAAGTTTAGGCATATATTGCGGCTCAGTGACACTTTTTTTTTTTTTAAATAACAATAGCCACTACTGAGCCAAGCTTGAAATTACAGGCCAGGTTCTCTACTAAGCCTTTTACACATATATAGCTCATTGAATTCTCATAACAGATTATGAGATAAATACTATTATTATCTCTATAGAAAAAAAAGGTCAAAGAAAGATTAAGCAACTTACCGAAGGTCATTATTATAGGAGGAATTGGAGCCTAAGTTTAAACTTGGGCATTTAGATTTCAGGACCCTCATTCATAACCATTGTACTGTATGGCCTCTTATACTTTAATATTAACAATAATGGGAGTAGGTTGTATGTATTATATCCCTGGGGTATTTTTGGAACTCCTGAAATGAAAAATCCCAGGGAAGTGTATTCATCAGTTCTGGCTTTTTACATATATGATGCGTTTTATATGGAATGGCTCTCAGTGAATGTTAAGTGAATGAACTTTTTTTTTTAAAGATGTTAAGGGTCCTAAGAAGCTCTTTCCAGACCTCCCATTTGGAAACATGGATAGCGACAGAGTAGAAGCCCGCAAGAGCCTCCTGGAATCATTCCTAAAGGTCAGCATCCTCCCATTTTGGCTCTGCGCTCATTTTGCCCACCAGACGCCCCAGCCAAGGTGGGGAGACCTAGGGGATGGAAATTTCTCTTTGAAGCCCTTCTTGTGTCTTTTGCAGCAACTCTGTGCCATTCCTGAAATCGCTAATAGTGAGGAGGTGCAGGAGTTCCTGGCTCTGAACACGGATGCTCGTATTGCCTTTGTCAAGAAACCGTTCATGGTCTCCAGAATAGACAAGGTACCAGCAGGGCCGCAGAGCTCAGCCTTCACGTCTCATCAGCGTGCAGGCAGTGCCTTAAACATACGGGGAGGAGGGCAGCGAGAGGCAGCACAGGGGAGTCAGTAAAGCACGGACTAGAACTTTCCGGGCCTGTTCCCAAATCTTGGTTGGATCATCAACTTGCTGAATTACGGTGAGCAACTATGAGGGTACAATATCCCCGACTCTGAGTGTGCACACGTCTCCTGGGGCCATAGTTATTCCAGTGGAGGGATGTTAGAATGCATCTGTACCTCTGTAGATAGGCGGGAGCAGGAAGGTCTCTTCTAGAGGTGAAGGTCATTCCCAGTGTTGGTCACTCAGGGAGAAAACTGCTAAGGTAGAACACTAAGCCGGGTATAAACTGGTGTAGCGATTCTCTGCTGGAGTGTGCGGAGACTTGTACCTTCTTCAAGAGGGTAGCTCAGGACCTTCGGAGATGGTAGGAAGACATTTGTGTCACACATTGGAGCTTGCCGACAGTGATTACCAACTGATTTTGCAGTCCCCAAGGCAGAAGCCTGAGCATTATGTTTATCAAAAGGTGTTATGTTGTAAAAGGTTAGAAAACACAGCCTCATTAGAAGAAAAGATTCCTCCCTCTTCTCATCTAGACTTCAGGGGATAAAAGGATAAAGTGGAATTTCGCATGTTAGGAGTTAGAGAGGGGATGCCCAGGGTAACATACCCAGAGTTCCCTGCAGATGTCTTCATTCACTGATTCTTTGAACACCTACTTACTGCCTTCCTGTTAAAGCTGTGTGCTGCACTAGCTGTTCAAAATGCAATAATGAACAAAATAGGTAAGGACTTTACTTACAGGCAACAATTTTATGAGCCTAGAGAACAAATTAATTTCCGAAGCCACCTTAATTCCTCAGCACACTCATGCTCCTCTCTGTGTTCTCTTCCTGGTTTGTTAGGCCCTAGTCTTGACTGCGCTCTTGCTCAACCATTCCAGCCGGGTCTCAGCTGTGCTAGCCGGGCCCCCTAGAGGAGTGGGTTTAAGAAGTCCTGGTGCTGCTCTGAGCCCGCGGTGTTAATTCGTGAGAGACACCAGAGGGAACGTGAATGTTTCTTCAGTATTACAGGGTTCCGTTTGCACAGTTTTTTTAGCAAATATTTATATGTCATTTTCCCATTCTCAGAAATAGAGATAATTTTTACTTTTCATTGAGGATCGTTTTATTAGTCTTTCTGAGTAGAGAAGTTTACATCAACCTCAGATTTCTTAATTTTGACATGAGTGATTTTTTGTTGCTCTTTCTGTACTTAAAGAAGAAAAATTGTTTGAATTAACTGGAAAAGCCAGCTCTTTACTCTGTGTGAATTACTCTGAGCATGTTTATATTTTATATGTCTCTAGATTGTAATATTTTGGTAATCTTCACTCTTTCTGTTCTTCATATTTTCCCACCTAACAGTATATTACTTTGTTTGTTCACATCTTGGTGTATATATCACTTTGGAATCTAAAAATTATTTTTTTATATACAAAGAAATTGAAAATGAAAAATATTTCGCCAACCTGCAGAACTCTCAGGTTTTTATTTATCCTATTGTTTGTTTCAGTTTCTTTTCCTATGATGCTGTTTGTCTTAACTCTGTGAGGAAGATTTTAATGGCCATGGAGAAAAGGAAGAATAGTTGCCACTAAATTATTAGGTGATATCTGACTATGCTGATAGTTAAGGCTCCACTAGATAGCCTAGCTATCTCCCCATCCTGACTGCATAAAGCACCGTGAGAATATAATAAAGCTCATTTGGCGGTTTCTGTCTGACCCTGCACCTCTGACCCCTGCAGATGGTGGTGAATGCTATCGTGGACACCTTGAAGACAGCATTTCCTCGCTCTGAACCCCAGAGTCCCACAGAGGAGCTGAGTGAGGCCGAGACAGAAAGCAAGCCCCAAACAGAAGGCAAGAAGGCTAGCAAGTGAGAAGCCCTTCAGTCTCCCAGGGACCCTTTCCCATTTCTCAGGTTGATCCCCAGTCCTCAGCCAAAGCCCATCCCCAACTCTCAAGCTCCAGAAGAGAGGAGATGGGTCATACATACCAGTGTTTCTGCAAAGCCAGACCTCGTAAGCAAAAGGAGCCTGAGATCCTGCATGGGCTGCCCTGCTGAATGTTTGTCTTGCCGTGGGAATCCAGGGCCCCAACTATTCAGAGATTTGTGACTAGGAGGAAAACTCTAGAATATGGATATTCTCCTTTTCTATTTTCCTGGAAAATTGAGGTGTTATTTCCTGTTAAGAGCCTGTAACCGATCTCTGTTTGCCATCATTCCTGGAAACCGTGGCTCAGAAGTTGCATGTTGTGGCAATAAACAGGGAGGGTTAGAATGAACACCTGCAGGGCCCGTTTTAGAAACTGGTATTGCTGCTACCCGGTACCAGGGTCTCAGGTGGTCCCTGGCTGCTACCCCGGTACCGGGGTCTCAGATGGTCCCTGGGTTGCTACCCCGGTACCGGAGTCTCAGATGGTCCCTGGCAGTACTCAAAGCCGACGTGTGGGAGGGAAGGGCACCGCACTTACCCTTACTGGAAATTTTATGTCTGCCTCTGGGCCCTTATGGAGAGATAGAATGTAGCGGGTGGAGAATGTGTGTGTGTGTGTGTTTGTCTGGCTGTCTCTCTGTTTCTGTTCATGCTTCATGGGCTGGCGATAACACAATTCTTAGCCTTTTTTAGTGGGCCCATACTTGGAAGGGTGGCCATTCTTTAAAACAGTGAGGTTAGCACTTGCAGTCCCTTCCCTGGTTTTATTTGGAATACAGGGGGGAAAAGTAGATGTGCAAAAAGGTACTGACAACAGCAACAAAAACCTGTGCTGCTTGTCTAATCTTCAGCAAATATGTAATGAATGTGTAGTATGTGCTAGCCACTCTTCTGGCCTCTGGGAATATAACTACGGCATTTTTACATTAGCAGAAACACTTTCCCAGATGCACTGTACACAAAGCTTAGTGCAAGAGATACACTGTTACTAAGAATTTCTAGAATATATATTGCTTGGGAGATTTCAGGGCCAGGTCCATTCTGGCAAGTCTGACCACAGTAAGCTCCCAGAGTAAGTATAGGTGTATTTGTTTTGAGGTATGAATACCTGTCAGCCTTTTCTAGAGGAATCAGGATCATGAATTACATTCTGTTTTTGTTCTTTGTTTCTGTACTAGGTCCAGACTGAGGTTCCCATCCAGTAAAATTGCTCCAGCACTGAATATGTCTGAACCACACGAGAAGATTCTCTATCGTCTCCAGGAAAGCAATGTGGTGAGAAGTTCCTTGAGAACTCCTGGAATTACTATGGGATGTAGATCCTGCAGATATAGGCACTTGGAACATTCTCCAAAGTCTGAAAGGACTTAGGTGCCTTGCTAAAGGACTTACCAACATCTGGATCTCTAATTTTTATTATAAAAGTATTTTCTCCAAATGGTTTGGAATTACTACTAGTTCTAGGTTGATAGTTTGGCGTCTCAAGGGTCATCAGTGTGGGATAATGTATGGCAGAATGGGAAAGAACACCAGTTCCTAAAAGAGAACAGATAGCCCAAAAGTGTTGGTAGCAAGTAAGAATACACAGGCATTTGTTTATTTGCAGTCTTGGTAAGATATAAAAACTTTCCTGAGTTGGTCAGAGTCAGTTAGGTTCTATGCTCAGGATACATTTGCAGGGAAAGAACAAGGAAAACCTAAAGTGCTTTGGTCGCTCCTCTACTTCCTGCATTCTTTATGAGATGTGCTGCTGGCTCTTTCTTCAGGAGTCAGAGATCCTATCCATGTCTGCGATGGAATCCTTTATTAAAAAACAGACAAAATTACTAGAAATGCAGCCAGCAGACGTTCCAGAAGAAGATCCTGAACATATCCCCGAGGGACATGTGGATGATTACCTGTCAGATGCAGACATGCCAGCCCAAGACCTCAGCAACAGTGATCCAGGTGAGCGGCAAGATCTCTGCTTCCATCCTGACTGGTGTGGCTCAGTGGGTTGGCCTTCCTCCTGCAAACCTCCTGGTTTGATTCCCTGTCAGGGCACATGCCTGAGTTGCAAGCCAGGTCCCCAGTTGGGAGCATGCAAGAGGTAACCCATCGTTTCTCTTGGCACATTAATTTATCTTCTGTTCAGCTAAGTAAGCCACGGTTAAGCACCAGTGTTTGAGGTACTCTGCTGAGTGCTGGGATGCAAAAAACGATACAGCTCAGTCCCTAGAGCTGAGTTGAGCAGGGCACAAAGACAGGGAGCGCCAATCCAACAGAGTAAGATCCATGCTTATGATACAGTGGCCTTGTCGAAGTCCTCTTCAGCCTACTTCGGCCTGTGTGTGAGCCGCTCCCCTTAGCTGTTCCCGTAGTGCCTGCGGCAGCGCTTTCCTGGGTGGTCCCTCGTCAGCCCTTCTGTTGGCACCCTGAGCCTTCCAGGGCTCCGTGGCTCTCTGCTAATACCCTGCACATTCCACCTGGGTGAACTCATTTGTAGGGTGGGCTTTAACTCTACTACGTGCCTAATAGCAGATGTTGTATTTCCAGTTGTCTAAAGGGAATCTGCACCAAGAGATACCACAGGGCAGCTGAAATACAACAGATCCAAAATGGAATTCCTCTTGTTCCCTGGATCTATTCCTTTCGTTTTATTTCTTGCCATGGCAAATAATGGCACCTAGTTACCCAAGGAGGAGGTGGGAGGGAGGAGAGGTGAGGACAGAGTCTCCTCCTTATAAGCATTTGAGGCAGGGCAGGCTTGCTTCCGAGAGGAATGAAGACGAAAAATCGGGGGTCCTGGATATTAGTATGTTTGCTAAACTAGAATTTATAAGAAGAAAACTTTTCAATTCCACCAAGACAAAGGCTCCTGCTGAAAATTAAAATCACCACATCTTTGGTTCGGAAGGAAAATAAAAGGCTTGATCTCATCATTATTTCTCTGATGCCCATGAACAGTCGCCTGACCTGTGCCCTCGGGACCTCCACTGAACTATGTGAAAAATGGAGTTACAACCCCACCCCTTCACACGCATCTCACTGGTTTAAGTGAGTGAAGTATTTTGACACCAAAAGCATCAGAAAAATAAGAAATTAGAAATAATAGGGAACAGATAAAACAATATAATCTAGCCCAAATCAAAGCTGTAAGTTTTGAATATGATATCTCTAAAGGAACAGTTTATGCTTGGGCCCTTCTGCCAGCCCTAGGAGCCTCGAAGTGCTCACCAACAGGAATTTTACCATTTTTTTCAAGAGCACCTGAGTGCCTTGTTTGCTTATTTTTTACTGTTATGAAAATTGTCCCCGCATGGCGGCAGCTCTATGTAAATATGAAAGCTGCCAAAATAATGGGGTTCAGGGGGGCGACCAGGACCCCGAAGGGCGCTGTTTCCCCAGGGGCTCAGCATCGCACCTTCCAGCAAATGATGGGGGCGCAAACACATCGGCTCCTTGAAACACAGGGCAGAAGAAAGAAAATACATGCTGGGTGGGATCAGGAAGACGGCAAGTTTTATTTCTAGCGCTTCATCCAAATCTGAAGTTATTTACGTTCTAAAAAGAACCTGTAAGGGAGGAGAGCTTGGGTAAGCTCAGAGAATATCCCTTGGTTCTAGACAGACAAAATTGTTGTTGATAATTAATTATAATATTAATCACAGCAATAACCCCAGACAGCTGAGATTCATTCAGGAACATGTATTCCTGAGAAAGTCTCCCAAGAACCAAATCAGAGGTGGCATGAGATCCCCTCAACAGGCTTAGAGAACAGGCGCTTCCATCCATAAAATACATCTGTTCAGGAGACTTCGAGTTCGCATGGGTGTGAGCTCAGCTTGTGGCTAGTCTTTGAAATAGGAAGGAAATCACTAATTGTGACATTTCCCCAAAGGTGTAGTGCTTTTCCTAAAACCACACATTGTCTCAAAATCAAACTGGAGCTTCCTGGATCCCAACCCAGCAGCTCTGTGTAATGGAGAGGTTTTCAAAGCACCTTTTAAACAGAATAAATCCGAAGTCTTTCCCCAAGTCTGCTGCCCACAATATTTCTATGATGCTTTGTGGAGGCGAGTGGAATACACGTATGGAAGGGACTGGGCCTCGCCAGTTCCATTTAGTCACCAGTCGCTGACTTACTTGGGACAAAATATATTCAACTCCCTGGGGGAAAATACAAAAGAAACAGACTAGGTAGGGAAAATAATTATATACAAAATCTTTTTAAAAGAATAAAAATTTTTACTAAGTGACTAAGGACTATAAAGAAATGCTGAACTTTTTAGATATAAAACAGATATCTCTTGACATTATTTAAGAACTGCTAGGTTATAAAAACACAAGCTAGGATAAAGGTTGAGAGGACCCAGTGCCTTGAAATATGTTCTTCAAGTTTGAGTCTCTTCTGAGTCACTTTGGACGTCTTTTTATTCTCCAGGAACAGAGACAGGGTTAGCTGACACAGCCCTAGATCTGCTCCTCCTGCTGCTGATGGAACAGTGGAGATGGCTCTGCACAGAAAACATGCAGAAAGTTCTTCATCTTACCTTTGGGACCCTAATTCAGAGGTAAGGCCAGGGAGTTCTTCCCATGGAGGTCTCAATTTGGACAGGGGTTGGCTGTGATCCTGAATTCTCCCCCAGAAAGGGCAAGGGTAGAGTCCAGGAAACTTGTGGTCATAAAGAAAGACAAAGCCTCTATTACAGAGGTACAGAAGTGAAGACTGCCTGGAGAGTACCAGAAAGCTTTGATTAATCACTTTGCTGTCTGAGGTTTGAATGTGCCTGCTTCTGTAAGACGTTGGACCTGATCCACTGAGTTACGGTCCCTGCCTGTGATTTTAAAATACTTCAGCTGAACTCTTCCTACTCTGGGATCAATTCTCCACACAGTTATACCCCCAAGCCCTCTACCTTTCACCTTGTTTCAGTGGACATTTCTCTTAAGTGACCATGTGTAGTCAGTGACAGTAAAAATAAGAAAGATGAGAAAACAGATCACTGCTCCCGAAGATTATTTTCTCTGAAAGGGCTGTAAATATTCACAATTCAAGAAGCACTTACTGACACAGGATAGCTAAAACTTGGATTTCATAAATCAGGGTTTGTAATCCTAATGCCACCTGAGTCTCCTGAAAGATTTGTGCACAGATGGAGTATTTAGCTGCTGACTCCCTAACCATGAAACTGCTGTAAACTTTGCTGCACTAAAGAAGGACAGAGATATTGTCTCTGAACCAGACAGACACACATAGTACTTGAGGTTTGGCCACTGTTGTTTTGAATGCTCTTTCATGTGATGTCCTGGCAAAGTAAGAAGCCAGTCCTGACCTCTTCTGTTACAATTGTAGCTCATGCTAATAGACACTCCAAAAATAAAAACTTCTTTTAATAGAAGAATTATATACCTATTCTACAACATGTAGAAAATCTATCAACAGCTAAAATCTCCCCTCTCACACTCAAAGTTATATAGGATCAGGAAGGCTTAATAAGCTTTAGTCATAAAGAGACTAAGTCAAAGGGATACCCATTTTATTTCCTGTGTGTTTCTCATGGGCCAGCATCCAACTTCTGTTTGTATATATTTTACAACAACCAAGTGAAGTAGGTAACCCCATCTTACAAAATAAAATAAGAAAACAGGGCTTGGCAAAGTCACCTAACCTGCCCAAGGCCATAGTTAAAGACCCACCTGGAATTTGAAGCTGGATGCATACAACTTCAAAACCCACGTGCTCTTTCCTGCCTGTAATAGCCTGGTGGCTGGCTCCTTGTGAGACCCACATGCAAAATGCTGACTAGCCTCTGTGCCTTCCCGCTCTCCCCCTCGTCCCTTCTGCACATGCAGCTCTCCCACTGGAGTGCATTTTCCAAAAGGCAAATGGGAACACATGTTCTGCTTTTAGTAAAGCTTGAAGAGCTCAGTGTCCTTCCATGGTACTCTGTTGCCTACAAAAGTGATTTTTCCAGTGTTTCCTGGAGTTCCAGGACTCCACAGAGGTGCTTCAGAAGCCACCTGAGAAGCTAAGGGGAAAACTAACTGGACCGTCATCCAATCAGAGCAGCGCCATGTTTGTTTATCCTCACCTGAGGAGGTACTTACTGATTTTAGAGAGGTTGAGAGAGAGAGAAACATCATTTGGGTGCTTCCTGTACATGCCACAACCAGGGATCAAACCCGCAACCTAGGTACGTGCCCTGACCAGGAATTGAACCCGCAACCTTTGGTGCACGGGATGACGCTTCAACCAACTGAGCCACTTGGCCAGGGCCAAAGCAGTTCCATTCTGACCAATTTAATAGACTGGGGACCTGGGTAAGGTTTTGTTTGAAAAAGGGCTCCATTGTGTTTAAAATACAAATTTACGTATTTATTCCACCTCTTTTCTTACTTGGCCTGATCTGGTCCCAGCCTCATTTCCAGTTCTCCCCCATGGAAACCATCCGTTGCTGCCTGAGCATTCTGTAGTCTCTCTTCTTCTGAGCCTTTGCTCATCTTCTTGTCCTGCATGAACAGTCTCTACTCATTCTTCTTCCTCCTGCTGTGTCCCATGCTTTCTCTGTTCTTGTCTGCCTGGCCTACTGCTGGATATTTTTCAAAAACTGAGCATTGTCATTTGTTCTGTGAAACTTTCAATGGCATCTTCTCCCGCTTTCTGTCAGCACTGTGGAGTCCTTTCTCTCCTCTCGGAGTTTTCATAACAATACTTACGACAGTGAAATACAGAAATGATCTGCTTTCCCTTAATTAGTGGTTCTCAGCTAGGGGGCATTTTTCTCCTCATGGGTATTTGGCAATATCAGAAGGCATTTTTGGTTGTCACAACTGGGAGGAGAGGCAGGAAGCTATTTCATCTAGTAGGTAGAGTCCAGGGGCGCAGCTAAACATCTGTACTACACACCTTCCCACCCCAAACACCAGTGGATTATTCTGCACAAAATATCAGTAGTGCAGAGGCTGAGAAGCTCACCCTGGACTGTTGGTTCTTCAAGGGCCAGAACTAGCGTTATTATATTTCCAGCAGCTGACACAGGGCCTGGGACCCAGGAGATGTTCATTATTGGATAAAAAGATAAACGTTCCTCTTCTCAGTACCTTTATGCTTAAACATAGGGTCTCCTTATGTTTTATTCAGTCACTTGTGGATGTTGCTAATGAAACTTTCATTTCTCCCTTTGTTAGGCTTCCCTTTGCTGACCTTCCAAATGCTTCCAACAAACGGGAAGGTTCTCAAACTAGCGAGTATGTGATAACTGATTCCTTCCTCCCCCTTAAAGTAATTTACATGATGAATTGGTTTCAGAACACAATAAATTATTCAGTAGGAACAGAAAAATGTAGATGAGTGAGGAGAAATTTTAAAAAACTAAGATTAACATACAGAAAGGGTAGGAAGAAGTTTACCTGAAGTTTAAGTAACTCAGAATATGAAAGAGCTTGGGTCAGTACCAAATAAAGTAGAAATATATATTTGAGAATTATAGACAGATCATTGAAGAAGTGGTATTTCATGGAAATCTAAAGCAGGAAACTTAAAAACGAGGTAATGGCAGGCAGTGAGAATTCCAAGCCAGGTTGCATCACCTCAGCGGGCGATGATGGTGAATTCTCCAGGGACAGGGAAGAGGCGGCAGTGCAGCGGAGCGGGCGCCGCGTAAAGAAGTCAGCATGTCAGGCATGTGCGCTCTAGCTCAGCTCTTTCTTGGTTTCACTGGCAGGACTTTGTTCGGGCTGTTCTGTAGCATTCATCCTGCTTTACCTTAAAATGCTTATACCGCGCTGTCCGACTGGGGAACTGTTTTGGTCTTACTCCTTTTTCATTGAAAAAACAGGAAGGGCTTATTCTTTGAGAAAACAGTGAACAGAACAGACGCAGTCCCTACTCTTAACATATTTTACAGGTTAGTGGGGGTGAGAACGGAGGGCCTTATCTATGATCACAAAGCTATTGCGTGGGGAAGCCAGAAATCGAACCCAGGTATCCCAAAGCCCAAGTCCTCACCCACTGCAACACGCTGCTACTCTGCTGTGCATAACCTCCCTGAGCTCTGGTTTCCTCCTCTGGGAAACAGGAGTAATAACAGTGTCTGTGTCTTCAGGTACAGGGAACATGTCCAATAAAGGATATGTCTTAATATTCGCTCTTCAGAAAAAGGAAAGAAGGATCAAAAGCATTTTCTGTTTCTGTTTCCTTCAGCTAGTACCCCCAAATTTGTCCCATTTTTTTATGTCTTCAGGATCTCTGCCCCCACGCTAGCTTCCCGCTTCAGCTACCACTCTCCCTCTGTGCCTCTCCTTCTCAGTCATTCAGAATATACTTGGCCCTGTTCTCAGATTTCATGTGCTGGGTTCACAGTGTTCTGGAAGCTTCCTTAAGCTAGGAGTCAACAGTCATGGACACCTGGAGGAAGAATCCCAGCCCTCCCTCCAGAGGCTCGCGGTACCTGAGGCCTGTGGCCCATGGTCTCAGACCAGCAAGTTCCCATGTACATGGTACACGTGGAGGAGATGGGGCTTAATTCAGAGTTCCGGTGTCAACTCCAATCATCCCGTCGGCTTCAGATATTTACCATCCAGCAGACATTTGTTGAGCGCTTACTGTATGCAGACACTGGGCTGAGTGCTACAAGCGTACTCTACTATTTAGTCCCCTCGAAAGCCCTGTGAAAGAGATATTAAGATCCCCAATTCGAAGATGAGGAAACTAAGGCTTACAAAGAATTACGGTTATTTAATCAAAATCACAGAGTTTATAAGAATACCACGGGCAGAATCTAAACCCAGGTTTGTCTGATTTTCAAGTATAATGACTGTCTCTCAGGATCAGACTTTTGCCCCGTATGTTCTGAAGGGATAAAAACCAATTCAAAATTCGCTGACTCAGGGTAGTATACATTCAGTTTGTAAAATCCAAACTGCATTTCCACGTATGCACACTCACAACACAAAGGGCGCTGAACTATCCAAAAGCCAGCCTGTTTTGCTTGTCCCTGACAGCTTGCCTTTTTTTTATTTTTAAAAAGAGGTTCATGCAGTGCTACATTCTTTGGCTTTGCTTTGGTAAGCAAATAAACTGGAATTTGAGATCTCCTCAAAGCTGTGTCCCTCCCCCACCCCAGCCTACCACCACTCCTCCCAGGAGAGGCAGCAGGGCCCCAGCGGGTCAGCGTCGACCTCTCTGAGACTGCCCCGTGACCACTGCCCACGAGCCAGCGTGCTTTTGCCCTCTCTGAAACCGCAAGTATCTGGGTTGCACCCTTTTGCAGAGGACATGAATTCTTTCTCTTTGAGCTCTGCACTTTAAAGAGAAGGCTCATCGGAACCGATGCCACAGGCAGGGAGCGCCTGCCGCTTCTCTAGTTACCTTGAAGGCACTGCAGTTGTCAGGGGTGCTGCAGCGATCTAGATTTAGATGCATCTCCTCCTCTAAATGTTACCAGTTTCTAGCCTCCAGCATTCTCATTGTCAAGATGAGTTCATTTTCTCTGCTTACAGCTATGTTTACTCTCCCTGCTTCCTTAAATGACCTATATACATAACTGCCTTGGACTTCAAATCTTCAGCA